AGACAAGCCCGCCAGTGAAGCAGAAGTCCGACAGAGAGCATCGACCGGCGCCAACCTCTCGGGGAGCTATGTGCTCGTCGGCTAGGAAACATCGCCAACAGAAATTCTTGCCACAAACATAGTTTTGGCATGGCCGGTGGGATCTGCTTGATCAAAATAAATATGTTAGAACTACCAGAAGATTTGCAAACTACCTTGTTGCAAATGTTGCAAAGATTGGAGAATGCCTCCGCAGGTCTCAAACGGGAAGCCGACCTGGTTATAAGACCAACTATTCCTATATCTTTACCTCAACTTGGGAAAAAAATGATAGGGAAAAAGAGAGATTTAAAACCAACCAGCCAGAAGAAGCAGTGATGGACAAACCTACGGATCCGTTCTCAGAGGCTCCAATAAATATGATCAGTATGGCATGGACTGAGAAAGGTAAAGAAAATGTCACAAGGGAAGAAGAAAGAAGATTGGTTGACAAATCCATAAAAGGGGTGATCAAATTGCCCGAACATCCAAGAGCAACTATAATCAAAGGGATGGTTCTGTGCAGTAAATGCCAATGCGAGTGTGAGCTCGAAATACCACCCGCAGGAATCCTCATGGATCATGAACTGATCAGGAGGAATGAAGAAGAAGAAAAAAGAAAAGAGGCCCATGAGAAAGTTAGGCGGACTGCAGGAAGGGATACTTCCCAACCTAAAGCTTTATCAGAGATATTTTGCAATCATGAAGTTTCTGAGGAGGTAGAAGATAAAGATGCCAAAAAGCCAAAAGAGAAGGGTGTGGAGCATTCTCAATACGGCCATATGGGAAGAGAAGTCAAGAGGACTGATAAAATAACAAATCCTGTCAAAAATGATAACCTGCCCGCCTCGGGCGAAAATGGTACGTGGTTAGGAAAAATGGACAGCTCGTTAAACAAATGGGAGCCTCCATGGTCAGAAGGGTCCAAAGGCAACACAATGCCTACATGAACTCCCTAAAGACCCTGCGACGTCTGAAGCATCCAAGAATCAAAAGCTGGAGAAAACGTCATCCGTGGGCAGTAGTCAGTTCCGCTGGGGGAGTAAAAAAGAGGTGGAAAAGGCTAATAGTAAGACAGAAGGAGAAGGAAACCATGTGCCGCAAAGCCTACACCCTGGGAAATATAGGATCTTAAGGAGAGCTCAAGAAGATATGATCATGGTGCCAACTCCCGGATGGAAGACATAGCCTATTTGTTTTGGAACTGTTTCGCCTGAAAGAAAACCACCTTCTCTATCATTAGTGAATCCTTTCGGTGAAGTTCTAAAGCAAACACTGTATTCAAGCATGAATCAGCATGAGGGGGCACCAGAACCACTACTTCCAACAGATGCAATGGCTTGGTTAGATGAGTTCATGGACCAGATCGGGAGTAAGAAAGAAGAACTGCCAGAGTCCAGCAATTTCCATATCAACATGGCGTATGTGTTATCCGCCATGTTTGGTGCCAGACCTAATCAGCCCGCCACTATGGAAGGTGACTACGTGACAACTGAGCCAATGATGGGCCATGTCAATGTTGAGGTAGCTAAAGAAGAAGAGTCAGGAATAGCTGAATCATCCGAAGCATGCAAGGATGGTCCTTTAAGGATTTATACATATAAGATGGTGTTCAGCCGCCCAAACATTTTGATTGCCAATCATCTTAAGCCAATATGCGTTACAGCCCATTTGGAAGGGGTGCCTTTCAAAAGAATTTTAATTGATGGAGGAGCGGCTATTAATGTACTGCCAACGGATCTTATTCCTACAGACTTCACGGTTTCAAGCTTCTCGGGCGCTATCACCAAGACTCATGGGATATTGCCTTTAGAAGTGGATTTAGGGCTAAACAGATCATGCTGGCATTCTTTGTGATAGATTGCACTTCCACCTACGAAGCCTTACTTGGAAGAGATTGGATCTACCAAAGTCTTGCCATACCCTCCACTCTATATCAACAAGTGGCTGTTTCATGAGGCAGGCACAGAGGGACTAGGTTTTTGGGAGATGGTAGAGGCCGAATCACGGCCATTTCTCCCTACAACCAATGTTGTAGAAGCAAGTTTCTACAATCCTAACGTAGGAATTTTGAAATGTTCAGAAGCTTATGAGAACGGCCGCCCTATTAAGGTAACGGCCCAAAAGATTCTAGAACAAGGAATGCTCCTTACTAGAGGTGAGTAAGATAGACCTTGTATTGTCCCAACGCCCCTACACCATCAATGACAGAACAAAAAAGGAAGGATCAGGTAATGGCAGTCAAGTCCCTGATTAAAAGACTGTTGGTGTATGGGAAAAGAAGAAGGCAAGAAAGGGAGCTCTTAGACAAAGAAGAGCATGAATGGCAGCTAGGAGCTTCAACCAACCAGGATGAAAGTAGGGAGGAATTTTGTGGAAAAGAATTGGAGAGGGCCATACAAATGGCCGAGTGCATATATGACCTAGATGGGCCAGATGACTTGCCCGAGAGCCCGGAGTTGGTTGAATTTTTGTGTGCAGAACCTGATAAGCCACCACCAGAAGTTCAGGATCCTTTAGAAATTATTGATCTAGGGACAGAGGAGGATCCAAGACCAATAAAAATCAGTGGATTATTAGAGACTGATGATCGGGCAAAAATTATCTTTCTTTTGCAAGAATTTAAAGATTGTTTTGCTTGGCATTATACTGAGATGCCAGGTTTAGAATCAACCTTGGTGGAACATAGAATGCCCATCAAGGAGGGATACAAACCTATTAAGCAAGCACCGCGAAGGATGTCAAAGGAGATAGAAGAGAAGGTCAAAGAAGAGATTGAGAGGCTAGTAAAAGTTGGATTCCTTAGACCAGCCAAATATGTAGAGTGGTTAGCCAACATTGTACCCGTTTTAAAGGCCATAACAAAAGCAGTGCAATGTTGTGTTGATTACAGAGATATTAATGGTGCTACACCAAAAGATGAGTATCCCATGCCCATGGCAGATCCATCCATAGATGCAGTAGCAAAACACAAAGTCTTATCTTTTATGGATGGAAATGCCGGGTATAATCAGATAAAGATGGCCCAGGAAGATATACATAAAATAACTTTCAGATGTCCCGGGCATGTGAAGGCATATGAGTATCTGGTCATGCCATTCGGGCTCAAGAATGCTGGTCCAACCTACCAAAGGGCAATGAATGCTATCTTTCATGATCTGATTGGCCATAACATGGAGGTGTATATTGATGACATCGTGGTGAAATCCAAAACAGAAGAGCAGCATCTGATAGACCTCAGGCAAACACTGACAAGAATGACGATCCACAAATTGAAGATGAATCCAAAGAAGTGCGCGTTTGGAGTAAGAGTGGGTAACTTCTTGGGATTCCTGGTTCATCAAAGAGGTGTAGAAGTGGATAAGAACAAATCGCGGGCAATAATGGAGTTGCCTTCACCCACCAACAAAGTGAAACTCCAGAGGCTGCTAGGCAAAATTAATTTCTTGAGAAGATTTATTACCAATTTAGTGGGCAAGATCGAGTCGCTGACTCATTTGCTAAGACTGAAGGATAAAGAGAATTTCGAGTGGGGTCCACCACACCAAAGGGCTTTCGATAGTATCAAAGCCTATTTGACTTCTCCACCACACCCTTAAAGCTATATATCTCTGCTTCAGAGAAATCAATCGACAGTTTGCTAGCTCAAAACAATGAAGGCGGGAAAGAGCAGGCGGTGTACTACCTCAGTAGAATTCTGACCGAGGTAGAAACAAGATATTCTCCAGTGGAAAGATTGTGCCTAGCTTTGTATTTTATTGCCAGTAAGCTAAGGCATTACATGTTACCTTGTCACGTGCACATCATTGCCAAGACAGATGTGATAAAGTACATGTTGTCAAAACCAATGCTAACAGGAAGGATTGGGAAGTGGATCCTAGCATTATCAGAGTTCAGCTTTCAATATGTACCCCAAAGGGCAGTCAAAGGCCAAGCAATTGCTGACTTCTTGGCGGAGCATCAAGAATCTCCAGATGAGATAATCAATATCCTGGGAACCTTGGAAGTTACTAATGTTTGGATCCCGCCAAGCAAAGATATCTCGGGCAAAGATGAGTGGATCCAGCAAGAAATAAGAAGAGTGATTGGCCTCTGGGTTACTCTTTAGAAGCTGTATTTTGATGGTTCCTACACTCAGAAGGCTTCAGGAGCTGTAATTATCAACCCTCAAGGAGTTTATCATTATTACTCATTTCTCCTAGATTACCAAGGGAACACCAATAATCGAGTAGATGAGACCTTAATAATTGGTTTTGAAATCTTGATGGATCTGGGGGCAGTGGAGGTATAGGTGTTTGGTGATTCAGAGTTGGTAATAAACCAGCTAAATGGGGAGTTCAAATGTAGCCATATCACCATGGCAGGGTATTACTTAGCGGCCATGCAATTGCTGAGTTATTGGAATTCTGAGATATCAGTTAATCATGTTCCCAGAAGATCCAACCTAGTGGCCAACGAGATGGCGCAATTAGCCTCAGGCATGCCAATACAGGAAAGAAAATATGGGGTAGATGTTGAGATAAAAAAGAAACCTTCCTTCTATCCTGGAAAGAGGATTTAGTTTGGATGTAATGGTTCTAGAAACGGAGATGGAAGATTGGAAGTTGCCCATCATTCATCATTTAAAGGATCCCTCTTCACCCACGAGCAAGAAGAATAGACAGCAAGCAACCAAGTATGTCTTATGGGCGAAGAACCTGTTAAGGAAAACTCCAGACGGGTTACTATTGAAATGCTTAGGCGAAGAGGAATCCATGAGAGTGATGGCCGAAGTACATGAAGGAGTATGCGGAGCACACCAGGCTGGAGCGAAGATGAGGTGGTTGCTTAGAAGGTATGGGTATTTCTGGCCTGACATGGAAAAAGATTGCAAGTCCTATGCTCGAGGCTGTGAAGAATGTCAAAGGCACGGACCCCTCCAACATGTGCCCTCAGTGCCTTTAAATCCAGTGGTCAAGCCTTGGCCCTTCAGAGGATGGGCAATGGACTTCATCGGGCAGATTTATCCAGTATCTAGCAAAGGGCACACTTTCATAATTGTAGCAACGAATTACTTCACCAAATGGGTAGAAGCCTCGGCCGTAAAATCCATAACCTCAGCTACAGTCAAGAATTTCATTAAGACCAAGATTCTGTACAGATTTGGTGTGCCCGAAACCATAGTAACGAATCGTGGGCCATCTTTTATTTCAAAAGAAGTTGAAGAGTTTGCAAGTAAATACAAAATAAAGATGATCTAGTCCAATTCTTACTATCCACAGTCAAATGGCCAGGCAGAATCCAGCAACAAGATTTTGGTAAACATTATCAAAAGAATGGTGACAAATAGTCCAGAAAAGTGGCATGAAAAGCTGGGAAATACGCTGTGGGCATACAGAACTTTTAAGAGGGCAGGAACAGTGACAACTCCTTATGATTTAACTTTCAGGCAAGATGTAGTGCTTCCCATGGAGATCAATGTGAGTTCTGTCAGAATTCAAAATCAGTTTGGGTTACACAGTGAAGAGTACATCGAAGCCATGTGTCAAGGGATTGAAGACTTAGATGTAGCCTGAATTGAAGCCTTTAACGAGATTCAGGAAGGAAATGAAACTGTTGCCTGAGCTTATAACAAAAGGGTAAAGATAAAGTCTTTTAAGGAAGGAGATTTAGTGTGGAAGACAGTCCTCCCTCTAGGAGCTCAGCTTAGGGGCTTTGGAAAATAGAGCTCGACACGGGAAGCTCATTTCATGATTAGTCGAGTATTAAACAAAGGAAGATATTACTTGGCAGACCTCGAAGGAAATTGGCAGAAACATCCCATTAATGTTAAATTCTTGAAAAAGTATTGTCCGACATTATGGGATGTTAGAGATTGTTATATTAAAGAGGATGCAAGGTAAAGTAGGCTTCGGGATACCAAAGCGCAGTGTATGTTCATCAATCATTCAAGAAGACAGAAAGACACAAAGCTGCTAAAATAATGTTTATTTCATTTCGACAAATTGGTGAAATTTACAACAAATTCAATTCCGATGTGCTACGTTTGATTCCTTCTGGATGGAATGGTGTCTCAGCTAATTTTCTGATGTCTTCATGGATAGAATCTAGTCAGGTGATCGGGTTGTGCGGCCAAGATGAGCTTGGTAGAGGATCCTCAGACAGAGTCATCACCATATATTATGGTGAAGCCTGATTTATCATGACAACGAGCAGGAAGGCAAGCCTTCATGAGGATGCCACTTGACCAAGGGTGTTGAGGATAACGGGGTGTTTGACCAAAGGTGTTGGAGATAGTAGTTATCTGATGAAAACTCTTTTTTCTCAGAAAAATGAAGTTTTAGGAAACCCCACTCGAATCCTGAAGAACTCATTTCACAGTTCTGGGAAGAAAACTAAGGAGACAAAAGCGCTCAAGGTTGACAACAGATGAGGTTGAAAATGATTTGAGCCGGAATTTATAGGAATATCATAAGGTAGCTCAAGAGTCATGGGAAGATTAAGAGACTCCGGGTTGTGTTGATCTCAACCAGAAAACACGAATTCCAAGAACAAGGGTACAGGTGCATGCAGCTATTCAATTAATATTGGCGCCTGGAGTTCTAGTCTAAATATTAATTGAAGGGGGCACTGTTTGGGTTAAAATTTAAACTTTGGACTCAAGAAGGAGTTGGCCCAGAAAGAAAGAGGTTTAGAAGCCTGAAGCCCGGAGCCCAGCTAAAGCCCATAAAGCAGGAGAGGCCATTTTTTGACTACGTGCAGACCTTTTGAACTACTTGCTCACCTACTTAAAGGTCAAGTGGTGTAGACCAGCCAGCTACTTAAGCCCAAAAGCACTTTACAGTGGCAGTACAAGTAAACAGCTGATGAGTCATTGCCCTTCAAGTTGCATTCGGGCAAGATTACTGCTACATGAGGCCAAACCAAAGTGTCTATAAAAGAAGAAAGAGAAATCAGAGATAAGGATACTCAATCAAACAAACAAATACAAGCACAAACTCTGCTCAACCTTTAAAATAGGCATGCATTAAAAAACAATTCTAAAACCCATGACTTTCAAAGCCTAATGAATGGTGAACCACAAGACTCTTTAACAACATTAAAGAGAAAGAAGGTTTGAGAGATTCATTACCCTTGAAGCTCATCCTTGTTTACACAAGGGATTCACCCAAGTGGAGGGCCTTCAAGTCACCTCCTAGCTCCTTGGATCTTCCTTGTGATTTTCTTCCTTTTGATGCTCCTTTGCTCCTTAAGGATGTGAGGAAAGGATCTCCAAAAACACCAAAGATTTGGTGTCTCTAAGTCTCCACACCAAGGATGAGGTGTGAAGATGAAATGGATGACTTAGAGAAGAAAAGATTGCTAGCTATCTCCTCCCTAAGTGGTCGGCCTCTATTGGAGAAAAAGAGAGAAAGTGTTTCTCATCATTTTTCTCAAGAAACCCTAATGAGAAAAAGCTATAAAGATGCTTTTATATCTCTTTTCTTAGGTGAGTGGCAAACTTGCAATTAAGCAAAACTTCACACTCCCCTCACTATGGCCGGCCTCTTTTAAGTGATTGGGCTTATTGCCCATTTTGTTTTAGTTGTCATACAACTTAAACATAATGGGCCTTGTGGACCAAAACACTTTTGGGCCTCGAAACCCAAAACAAACTTAAAAGCCCAATACGAACCTTTCGTAAAATTAATTAACTAATTAATTAACTTTGACCATTTTTCAATTAAACCATTTAATTGCATATCCATTTCATTTATATTTATTCACTTTCATCCTTACTCGGTGTACGATCCATTAGGTTCCAATTAGCGAGGCAGTGGGCGATTGTTACTCTTAACGATCGATTATGAATTGAAACTACATTTCAATTCTCCCCTTGATTAAGATTAGTGTTTGCTAATCTTCAGGGCTTCCACAAACCATGAGTGACACCTAGCAGCATGTTATGGTTACCCAAGCTAAGTAGAAGTGGTTGGAGAACCTATCCAGTTACAACTACAACACAATACGGTCCTTCTCTAATACAATACTCTTAATCACATTGTTTGAGTGATAGTTTGTTTCATGTCTACTATCCAATGTGATACTTCTCTATATGATTCAATTGAATATGATTTGGAACAAACTTCCTAAGTCATATTCATATGCTTTGGCCAAAGACTCTCGAATCATATCTTAAAGTATTCTCCTTCTACCATGGAAGGTTAAAGATCCCTTGTTGTGCATTCATATGCCTACATGACTAGATAGCTTGACCCCAACAATGTCGTGGACACTCTCAATGGAATGCTTTTGACATGATCAAAGATCAAGGACCTAACCATTAGACATCTATGATGCCTCAGGTCAAAGGACTACTTTGCATATTGCAACTATCGAGTTCTTACATGACATGTATGTTCGAACTCTCTTTTGATCGTTGTTCAGTGTACTCGATTACTCTTTCGAGCACTTATGTGGTTGTCTTAGTGTCCAACACTAAATGACTTGAGACTAGTCATACTCACGCTTAAGTTGACATAACACATACTAACCTTAGCGGATTGTCAATGCCCAATTGTCAATCTTATGGCTAGGAACGTTTTAGGAATGAACATAAGAGAAAGGTCTGTATAGGCTTCCACTCGCAACTCTGTTGCTCCTCCATAAACAAGGAACATGTCCTTAGTTCTTCTTAAGTACTTAAAGACCGTCTTGACAGCTGCCCAGTGTTCTGATAGTGATGCTCACAGCATACGCGATATCAGGCCTTGTGCATATCATGGCATACATGAGACTTCCTATAGCGGAAGCATAAGGAATAACACTCATCTGCCGTATCTCTTCAGGAGTCTTAGGTCTCATGAACTTAGAAAGGTGAATTCCATGTCTCACAGGAAGAAGACCTTTCTTAGATTGTTCCATCTGGAACCTACTTAGCACCTTATCTATGTACATAGATTGGGATAATCCAATTATTTTTCTGGATCTATCACGATAGAGCTTTATCCCAAGTACATAAGATGCATCTCCCAAATCTTTCATGTGGAAGTTTTTGGACAACCACACTTTTACAGAAGAAAGTATTGCAGTGTCAGTCTCGAATAATAATATGTCATCTACATATAACACTAGGAATACAACTGCATCCCCAACAACTTTTTGATAAACACAATTGTCGTCTTCATTTTGAGTAAAACCAAACGATTTGATTTCAGTATCAAAACGAATGTTCTAGCTCCTAGAGGCTTGCTTAAGTCCATAAATGGACATCTGAAGCTTGCATACCTTAGTCTTTTCAGACTTGGACACGAAACCTTCGGGTTGAGTCATATAAAGCTCTTCCTCTAGGTAGCTGTTCAGAAAGGCCGTCTTCACGTCCATTTGCCATATCTTATAATCATGGTACGCAGCTATAGCAAGCAAAATCCGAATGGACTTAATCATGGCTACAGGAGAGAAGGTTTCTTCATAGTTAATCACTTCTCGTTGCCTATAACCCTTGGCTACTAGTCTAGCCTTATAAGTCTCCACGTTCCCATCAACGCATATCTTCCTCTTGAAGACCCATTTGTTTCCAACAGGTAATATACCTTCTGGATGGTCTACAAGAGTCCAGACTTGATTTTGATACATGGAATCCATCTCGGATTTCATGGCCTCTTGCCATCTCTTTGAATCAATGTCGGACATTGCTTTAGTGTAGTCTCTAGGGTCTTCCTTTGTGTCATTGTCACCTAGAAGGTGCAATTCCCCAAAGTCATTATCTAAGCCATACCTCTTAGGTGGCTTGCTAACCCTTTCAGATCTACGTGGAGCTAGGGGTTCAGGAACATAGTTGTCAACTTGTCTAGTGTTTGTTTGTGGTTCATCATTAATCTCATTATTTTCCATCATTCTACTTATAGTTCCTTTGAGAACAAATTCGTCCTCTAGAAACTTAGCAGTTATGGCGACAAAAACCTTTTGGTCGTCAGAATGGTAGAACTCATATCCCATAGTTTCTCTAGGATATCCTACAAAATAGCACCTAACTGATCTCGCTTCAAGCTTAGTAGCTTCAAGCTTCTTGACATATGCTTCACAACCCCAAATCTTAATGTGATTAAGACTTGGCTTTCTTCCATGCCATATCTCATAGGGCGTCTGTGAAACTGACTTGGAAGGTACTCTATTAAGCAAGTAAGCTGCTGTATATAGAGCGTATCCCCAGAATGTTACTGGTAGATCGGTGGAACTCATCATAGAACGAACCATATTCATCAAGGTTCGATTTGTCCTTTCAGAAACTCCATGAAGTTGTGGAGTTCCCGGTGGAGTCCATTGTGATATTATTCCACACTCTTTGAGATAATCTAAGAACTCGTTACTTAGATACTCTCCCCCTCGATTTGATCTTAGGATTTTTATCTGTTTCCCAATTTGCTTCTCAACTTCATTCTTGAATTCTTTGTACCTTTCAAAAGATTCTGACTTGTACTTCATAAGATACACATAGCCAAACCAAGAGTGATCGTCGATGAATGTGATATAGTAGGAGAAGCCTCCTCTCGACGTAGTAGACATAGGTCCACATATGTTAGTGTGGATTAACCCT